CTCCGGGGGCGAGCGTGAAATGAAGACCCCCGCCTGCCGCCGGGCCGGAGGGAGCCCGCTCTCACCTTGCTCTCTCTTCTCCCCGCAGGCTTCCTTTGGGAGTTCGAGCCCAGGTTCGTCCTCGCCCACCTCCTGCTCCGGCACCCGGCCTGCCGCCTGCACGCCGCTCCCTCCTTCCTGCTCCTTCCCAATTTTATCCCCTCGTAGCTCTCCTAACGCTTCATGTGCACGCTGTTAACCGCCTGCCAGATTTTTAAGAGAAGGAGATGTGCGCTGTGGAGTCCTTCCCTTAACTCCGGTTGCAGTTAGTAATTGGCTGCTCGGAACCCAAAATGAAAACAAAGTTTTGTAGCACTTTTCAGTCAGCATCTCAGTAAAGCCATTTTAGCCTGGAGAGAGACTGCTTCTCTTGTTGCTGATAACTACAGGCTTGTGTAAATTTTTGACTTCTTGGTAATAACAGAAAACATTTAAAATCTTAATGATAAGTAATTTTTAAGGCTTTAACTGCTGTTAAGGTTCTTTGGAATACTTTACACAAGCAAGCATAGTTAATATCAGCAGGGCTACTGTTGAAGAAGTATTTGGGGAATGTATTTGCTTCTGTGTAACTGCCTTCTGCATTGGCTGTTTGTCATCTTTTTTAACTAGTCTTATGAAATTTATTGAGCTTGTTTTTGAATGTGGTTTTAAATATTTTAAAGGGGATATTAGTCATTCAGAACTACTAAAAAAGTGGGACTTTTTATCTGAAGTCTGTGAGTGGGATAGAACTTCCACTTGAGTTACTCAAACATAAAATTGATTAGAATGGCAATTAGAAGCAATGATCTTAAGCACACATACATGCTACATTAAGGCAGTTGGCACTTCCTTAAAACTGGATCAGGATGTGATGGCCCACAGCAGGAAAATTCAACACGTAATGTCATTATTGTAATTGGAATAGTGTTATCAGCTATACTGAAAGTTCTATGAGACCATAATATGAATAGCATGTGAATAAAAAGCATTTTTGGCCTGAATGTTTCTCTACAGTACTATGAACATTCACAATATTGTCTTAAGTGAGCTAAACAGACAAGGTTTGCTTTAATTACCTGCGTGTGAGGAATGAACACTTACCATAAGTGCTGAAAAATTAGATGCTTTAAGACTCAGAAGTGTTGGTATATGCAACTGTCTCTTTCAAGGCTGGAAGCAGTGCAAAGAGGGATACTGCTTTATTTTTCTGAAGAGGATTGAAAATTTGTAGCTATTTCCTTCAAAACTTCTGAAGAAGTTCTTAACATGGAAATAATTCTTAATAAACCTTTTCTTTGCTGCTTGTAAGCCAAGGATTGCAACAGAGCGCTAGTATGTAAGAACTAGAAGGGGAAACCAGAAGTGAAAGAGAAGTAGCCTAATCTGTTTCTTGTCTCCATCCTGAAAGCCATAAGAAAGTGAACATTAAAGAGCAAAACAACCCTGTAATTCAGTGATTTCCATTGTAGAACACTGACTTTGCGGTACAGAATATCTGCATTTTTAAAACTTGCTGAATCTAATGATAACCTTTCTAACAGTTGACAAAATGCACTTAATAATAACAGTACGTTTTTGATGAGTTATGAGTATCCTCTTGAGTAATGAAAAAGTTGTCTGTCGGACCACAGAGCTGTCACAATGGCTTGTTAATTAATGTGATCCATTAGAAGCATTTTGTTATTTCCGGTATATTTTCCTCAATATTTCTTGAAATTCTGCTATGTTTATTATTCTTCTCTAGATGAAGTGCTAAGAATTAAATTAGTTTTAATAAAAGGTCCATCTGTGAGGCTATACTAATCTGAAGTGAATCTCGCTGTTTGTTTATTTTACTTTAGTAGCAAGCCTAAGTTAGCTGTTTACCAGTGAAAAACTGTGCTTGTTACCATATAAATCACATAAGTAGAATCAGAGTCTGTAAATAATCACAGTCTTGCAGCATCTGAAATCTTGTGACGTGTGTGCTTTGTACCTTAATGATGATTTTAAGGCTGTTTTGAACAATCTTTTATTCAGTAAAATACTAATTTGGGATTGTACTTTCTGAAACTTCATTTTAGTAGTTTAGGTACTTCTCCCAAGTACTATATACTGCAAGAGAGAAGACTTCACCTATTACTTAAAAATACGAAAAGAAAAGGCCAGCTGAAACAACTGAATTTGTCAGGTTGTTAGGAATTTGTTCCAGTTATTCCACTGAGAGTTCTGACCCTGTATGTAGGAGAATTCATGCAATCGTATTTTTTTCTGTGATGTAATTTCTATATTGGTATAGAAAAAAAAAATGACTCAAATTAGGTTTTTTTTGATAGTTGGCTCTTTATCGTCTGAGGATCATGACTTTGACCCATCTGCTGAAATGCTGGTACATGATTATGATGATGAGCGAACTCTCGAAGAAGAGGAAATGATGGAGGAAAGCAAGAATTTCAGCTCTGAAATTGAAGATTTAGAAAAAGTAAGAGTGACTTACGCTTTCATAAATGTCCATACATGTTGTAGCTTTTCTAGTGAAAAGAACACTCAACCTGTAATGCAGTTGCCTGCAACATGCCTTTGCAGCGTCTTTAAAAAAAGAAAAAAAATCAAAAATCAGGTTTGATTAGGATATAGCAGTGCATCCTCACAAAAAGGCTGAACTTTAGCTTCTTAAAGATATTAGTGTCATGTTAAGTTCATATTCTTTTTCATGTAGTAGTTCTTTCACTTCGGTAGAGAAATAACTGAAGCAGGTTTGAGAGTCCTGTCATCTAATACCACTTACCATTTCTAAGCTTTATAAGTTGGATATAAGTTGAAGCTGTACATTTTGCACACTATTAAGTGACAGCTAGCTGTATTTCATTCTGTTGGTCAGGTTTTGCTTTTCCGATATGTAAACAAACAGTCCTGTTTTAGGCATGATGGATCACATTCATTTGCTATGTAAATGGTAGTTCTATGTCTTAATTTCATCAGTTTGGCATTCGGTAGGTGTACAAAATGACCAGTGTGCTTGTTGGCTTTTCCTATTCCATTTTATACTCTTTAATTACATGTTTTTCCTGTTTACACTTCTTGTTCATCTGTGGCAGGGCATTACCCATTTTAAACGCATGCTGAATGCTGAACACCCACAAAGTGTTGCTGCTTGCATTACTGTTCAGTGACCCACTTACACCACTCAGCATAACTGCAGATTTTGGTTAACAGAGTTCCAGGAAAGTGTAATTTTTAGTATCAGATATGAGGCTGTGTTTTTGTAGTCCATGTAAAAACAGATTTTCTAAATGTGGAGTTGACAGTG